TGATAGGGGGGTAAGAAGGATGGTTCTATATCTGTATTTTTCATGTAAAAAATAGTAAAATCTCTTCTCTCGAGAAGCTTTCTTGCAGAACTATTCGAACGACCGGAGTATTTAGAAGTATTTTATATACGTGATGATATGTGACCTATGTGACGCATTAATTAGTTGATACATAAACAAAGGGGGGGGGGCACTAAAAACTAGCTTTCGAATGATGCTGGTTTTTAGCGTCCCCAAGGGGACATTCAAAACTTCAACGGGGACACTTAAAACTGTCCCGTGGACACTGGTCACTGGGGACACTTATATCTGTTACACCGGATTTTGTCTAGAATAAAATAGGCTCATATATAGTACATATGTTATAGACCCATCTCTTCTCAAATTGACTTTTTGGAGATGCTCGTTATGAAACACCCTGTATGTCATTTGTTGAGCTACTGAACGGGTCGTTTCCAGGAATTGCTAGAACCTACTGGTTTGATCGGTGTTTCAAATTGATGGTTCAAGTATTTGATTGGGTACTGTTCCCACTCAGCCAATTAATTAAAAAAATGCTTGCGGTCAATTGTTCCACATACATGTAGGCAAATCTTTATACGGAGATCCAACTGTATACGTTATCATCCACGTAAATATACCGTTTTGTAAGTTCATTGAGCTTATACTGATCATGAAAACATTGAAATAATCAACTTGTTTATGTAATGACTCACTTTAAAGAATCATGACTCACTTTAAAGGATCGTGTTTATAATACACTACAACTACAAGGACACGGAAGCAAGCATTTAATTATAATGTGCATAATCTCAACGTGCAGATGACAGTGCATTCACAGTCTCTAGTTGATGGAGCTTTTCTGTAACGGGAATAGCTATGTTCCATTAAGTACAATTTAAAATTGATTTTAGTAAATATAATAGTTCGACATGACCCTTTAAAGTATTCGTATACGTATAAGTTGTACTTTCACTTATGTGCGAAATCTCTCTACTATCTCCTCGACCAGCCTTATGATCAGATAAACACCTTTGGCTATATTGGCATACCTAGTAATGCTTGTATTTACACATACGCTGTATTACTATGAACACTTTATGCCCAAATATTTAATAATTTGTCCCGCCTAACCAAAACACGTGTAACCATAGTTACAATATTTTAATCAATGTTGAGAAATTTAGCATTCTAAAATGAGACTGTATTTAACACTTCTTGTGAAAGTTTGAATAAAAGTGTAACAGAACTACTATTAGTTTGAGAGCTATTTTCTCAGAACCTTTTGATCGACCTGGTATTCTGATTAAAAAAGCTCTCCTTTTGTGTTTTTCATACATCCCTTTAAATGGAAAGTGCTTCTTGACTGGTAAAAATATATTAATAAACTTTCTAATGAATCTTGGCTTCTTTTGGTGAATCAATGAAACAAGGGTATAATTGTTAGATTTATGATGTCTTACTTCGAAAGCAGCAGTGATTGTAAGCCGAATTGAAAGACGTGTTTAAAAAGTAGAAATTGGATAATTCCATAGCTAACGTGAACGTTTCGAGAAACCATTCTTGGGAAAATACAAGAAGGTGTATAAAATACATGAAATACCCATTAAAGGATAATCTGTTGCAGATTTAGATATTTTATACTTTGAACTGGAATTTAATGACGCTTTGAAAATTTACATTACGTTACTGAAACTCCTTCTTGGATTCCAATTTTTCTTCTTTGACTGGATTGTCATGAATTTTCAGGATTTTATAAAAGAAATATTTAAAATTAGCAGCAAAATATATTTCATTATATCACATTTATAACCCAACGCTTGCTCCACAAATAACATTCACAATATGATTGAATCCTTGCAGATACTTGTAATGTTTATTAATATCTTTGTGTCAGTAGTAATAATTCCGCCAATTCGGCATATATTCTTATCATGATGTGCTGTAGCAGTTCTAATTAAAATCAAATACCGTATATACAGGTGAACGTGGTTGTGGATCCTAAGGAAAGAAATACATATATAAAACTACATAATGATATTTACAATGATTTATTAAGCATTATAGGAAACGTATATGCGATATGTTATCCCATCCTAAGCACTTTATATGATTGTGTAATAGAATTGTATAACTGCAATATAAAACCAACACTCATCGTATACAACTCTTGAGAACGATATACAACTCCTGGATAGCGTATACAACTCCTTGGCAGCGTATACAACTCTTCGACATGATACTAACTGTTCAATTTAGATTAACTTTTTATTAATTGAAAGATGACGTATGTGTTATAATGACGTACAAGGTAAATCTATTCAATCCCATAACTCTTATAATCAATACAAATGCGTTGCAATAATTAACCAATCTCCCCTCCATAAGTTTGGCAGCCTTAGCTCCCTCATTTAACTACGTTTTAAAGCTCTTTATGTTTGAAATTTTGTTTACATAACCTGTGAGGAAAATATTTATAATATTGATGGGAATGTAACTTGACTTCATTCCCTATGCCTCCAATTTTCCCCAATTTTTTCCTCAATTACAATAGGTCGGGTATTGATGATAAATTTGATGAACTAGTAATAGTTGTCGCTTGGTAATAGATATTGTTGATTATTTTAACAACAATAACACGGAACAAGGAACAATTCTATTTTTAGATTTTCAAAAAGCGTTTGATTCTATTGAATGGAACTTTATGTTTGAAACTTTAAAAAAATTTAATTTTAATGATAACATCATAAAATGGCTCAAATTATTATATACAAATCCATTTATTAATATTAAACAAAATGGATGGCTATCTCATAATATTCCTATGGAACGCTCATGTCGGCAGGGCTGCCCCGTTTCTGCAATCGCATTCATATTATGCTGCGAAGTTATGTCTTTAAAACTGATTCAAAATGAAAAAATCAAAGGAATTGAAATTGATAACAGAGAATATAAAATATCACAATCAGCAGATTATACATCATTATTTATGAAAGACAAAGCACCCATAAGTGAAGCATTAAAAACCATTAAACAGTTTTCAAAATACTCAGGCCTACAACTCAATTTAAATAAAACAGAAGGAATATGGCTTGGAACCAATCGTGCTTTTGAAAGTAAATTTGAAAATATTAATTTTACAGATGAACCTGTAAGATATTTAGGCATATACATAGGTCACAATGAAAATAAATGCTATGATTTAAACTGGAATGAGAAAATAAATGACCTTGAAAAAACATTAGATTCTTGGAAAAAACGCTACCTTACTTTATTTGGAAAAATCACTATTGTAAAGTCTTTAGCCATATCAAAACTTGTATATTCAGCATCTATTTTATCATTTAAAGAAGAAATTATTAAACGAATTAACAATTTAATATACAGCTTTTTATGGGATATTTTAACAAACTGGCTCCGAATATGGACATTTTATTAAAAATGAATGTTTTCTCTAATGAGCATCTTGATAAACTGCCTGTGTTCTATAAACAAGTTCTAAAAGCATATAATAGTTGTAAAGACCATGATATAATCAATAAATTAAAACACCATGAAATAATCCAACAAACCATATGGAATAACAGATTATTTCAATTGAAAGGCAAACCACTTTTCTTCAAATCTTGGATAGATAGTGATATTATCTATGTCAAAGATCTCATAACTCAAAATGAATTTTTAAATGTTAACTATATTTTTGAAAAGTTAAAAAAAAATTGGATTTCTGAATATTTTCAAGTCCTAACTGTAATGAAATCAATAAAAGGCTTTATTAATATAGAACAAGTAAAATTCACAAATATACCAAGAAAACCCAACTTTAAAGTAAAAAACATCCAATTAGACTTTAGAGGTAAAAAATCCAATTTCTTTTATACAATACTGAAAAATAAAAAATCTGAAAAATGGTTTACCTACAAGAAATGGGAAAGAGATTTTTGTATAACAAATGAAGGTAAAATAGATGAAATAAATTGGCCAAATTTTTTTACTAGCAAGATAATAAAAGTTAAAGACAAAAAAATTGCCAATTTTAATTTTAAAATAATTAACAATATTCTTCCTGGATTAACTGACTTATTTCTCTATGGGATAACAGATAATTATCATTGTAGTATTTGCAATAATTTATGTGACTTGAAACATATTATTTTTGAATGTTCCTTAGCAAAAGATATATGGGCACTGATACATAAAACATGTGGCCTTAATATTTCTTACAGAAAAATTATAATTGGTTATAATGGCCATGACTCACATACACACTTTTTAAATTATTTTATCAGCATTGTTACAAACAGTATTTATAAATCATATATTTTAGAATTGAATAGTAAAAAACAAAGAACATTTGAAAGCATGATTTCATTGATAAAATATGAAATTAATTACAGAAAAAATGTATTTTATTGTTCAAAGTGGAATTTTGTATCAAAACTGTTAAAATGAAAATTGTATGAATTATCTATTTTATGTCATTGTTTATGTTATGTAAAATAACCAAAAGCTGAATAAAGACTATTTTAAAAGAAAAAAAATAAATAAATTTGATGAACTTTTAAAAATTGTCATTCCAATGTAAATCAATGGGAAATGGTGGGTTCGGGGCAAATCTAATTTAGGATATATCTAGTATCCAGTAAAAGATTTATCAAAAAATATTTTTATATAGAAAATTGAATTGTCTAACTTTATTGTACGCTAAGTGTTCAGTTTACTTCATTAATACTAAAGTAACAGAGCTTTTAAGTCATTTTTGAGAATCATTTTGCGCCTCCTGTGTAATTTTGACATTGGTATTTGCAGACCAATACCTTTTTAAACCTGAAGAAACAAATCAATTTTTGCAAGAACTCGGATGAGTAAATATTCTGTCATATGACTCGCGGCAAATCTACCATTTCCCATTGGTTTACATGGGAATGTCGATTTTCAAAATGTCATCAGATTAATCATCAATTTTTCGACCAGGTGGAACGGAAGTCAAGTTACATTCCCATCAATATTATAAGTATTTTCTTCACAGGTTATGTAAATGAAAATTCAAGCATAAAGAGGCCTTAACACGTAGTTCAATGAGGGAGCTAAGGTTGCCAAACTTATGGACTGAGGGGAGTGTAGCCAAAAGGTTCTCACGTATACTTATGAATTTCCTTTTAGCTTTTTGCCGGGTGTTGGACAGTTGAACCTCAAGGTGCTCATTTGTTTTGACATTTTCTAATTGAATTAAACATTCGTTTGTCAAGTAAAGCTTTTTGTACAGCACAGTATTTTAATGGAAATGATTGTATGTACATGTATCTTCTACAAAAACAGGTGTACAACAATTACATCGATATGAAAAGTAACAGATATCGTATGACCAAAATATCTATCAATAAGCCTTATGTTTTGCTATTTTCATTTCAATATTTAGGTTCAGTCTCCTTTAATATTGGTGCTTTCGAAATAACCTTTGGTTTCTTATTTGTGCCATATACAACTAAATTGTAAGCCTGTTTGATATCCATTATAATCTTTGGAAGGTCTAGAATAATGACAATCGAAATAAAGATAATTGGCGGAACACATACAGGGATTCCTACAGCAGAAGCATATTTCGCTTCACTTGGCTCATACTCGATTCTCTTAATATATACATATTCATCAGCCTTTTCAGCTTCCTCTGCTACGTCTTTAAATACAATCATTAGAGGCGTAGTCTTGGCGATGGTGTTTTTTGGTGACGACTCATGAGGGGTTTCATCAGTTCTTTTGGTGGTTCTAGTGCTCGTTGTGACAATATCATCAGTTATGGTGGATTCAGTATTCGTTGTAACAATGTCATCAGTTGTGATAGTTCCAGTATTCGTTGTAACAATGTCATCAGTTGTGATAGTTCCAGTATTCGTTTTGACAATGTCATCAGTTGTGATGGGTCCAGCATTCGTTGTGACAATGTCATCAGTTGTGATAGTTCCAGTATTCGTTTTGACAATGTCATCAGTTGTGATGGGTCCAGCATTCGTTGTGACAATGTCATCAGTTGTGATGGGTCCAGCATTCGTTGTGACAATGTCATCAGTTGTGATGGGTCCAGTATTCGTTGTAACAATGTCATCAGTTGTGATAGTTCCAGTATTCGTTGTAACAATGTCATCAGTTGTGATAGTTCCAGTATTCGTTTTGACAATGTCATCAGTTGTGATGGGTCCAGCATTCGTTGTGACAATGTCATCAGTTGTGATAGTTCCAGTATTCGTTTTGACAATGTCATCAGTTGTGATGGGTCCAGCATTCGTTGTGACAATGTCATCAGTTGTGATGGGTCCAGCATTCGTTGTGACAATGTCATCAGTTGTGATGGGTCCAGTATTCGTTGTGACAATGTCATCAGTTGTGATTGTTCCAGCATTCGTTGTGACAATGTCATCAGTTGTTGAATGAATATTTCTGTTGGAACATGCTGTTAGGTTATTTGGTACTGCAAGTTAAAATGTTAATGTGTTATTAATCCGTTTTAAACTAAGAATCTCTTTTCTTCAGTCAACATTTAACTAGTAATGACTAGTATACCATTGATATTTTCAAATTTAACTTATAAGGGAAAAAGAACTACACAAACAATTAAATGGTTGTGACAAAATGGTAATATGTATTAGTCATCGTGATTTGATTTTTGTGCTATAAGTTATTTCAAATTATGGAATGTTTTATACCTATCGATAAAAACCCAATAATTCAACATTACCGTGTGATGTGTAAATCTCAACGTTACAAATTTTCCAATCTGGTTGAGGAATGCTTTCTAAAACGATAGCCACACGATCCCCAAACACAGAATCTCCACACCCATAAAGAACAGGAATGGAATGTTGTACACTTGCTCCTATGACGCAATTATCAATGTCATCTTCTTCTCCATCAGAGTACACCTTGATATCGAACATCTGAATTGTGTCCAATAATGAGGAAATATCTGAAAAGAGGAGTTTTCTATTGTGTTTGTCCAACATTTTAAAGAAAAAGGAAAGGAAACTTTAAATATAGCATACCATGATTAAGTGTTTCATTATCATATGGCAATTGAGAAATAGTATTTCAAACATATATTTCTTTCTTATATCCATGTTAGCTATTTTTGTTTGGTTGTGCTTACATATTTTCGTCCTGTTAAAGAACCAAACATAATCTACCTTACGTTTCCATGTTATTAACAGTAACAAATCATAATTAATTAGTGGAAATCTTAACTAAACGATAGTTTTTCCTTAATATTCTATATATCAGATCACTGTTTCATATTCTCAATTCATACTTACTAAAATTGATTATTAGTTCATTAATTTGAAAAAAAACTCGAAAATTGAATGCTGTCTCCATTTAACCAGAGGGAACATGGGCACAAGTCATACTTACTAAAGTTAATTGTTAGTTCATTAATTATTTGAAAACAGCCTCCTAAATTGATTGTTATCTCCCTTGTACCAGCACAAGTATCATATTGGGAAAAGTCATACTTACTAAAGTTAATCATTAGTTCATTGATTTGAAAACGGCCTCCCAAATTAAATGCTATCTCCTCGTACCAGATGGAACAGCACAAGTATCGTATGGAGAGAAGTCATACTTACTAAAGTAAATTATCAGTTCATTGATTTGGAAACAGCCTCCCAAATTAAATGCTATCTCCTCGTACCAGATAAAACAGCACAAGTATCGTATGGAGAGAAGTCATACTTACTAAAGTAAATTATCAGTTCATTGATTTGAAAACGGCCTCCCAAATTAAATGCTATCTCCCTCGTACCAGATGAAACAGCACAAGTATCGTATGGAGAGAAGTCATACTTACTAAAGTTAATTATGAGTTCATTGATTTGAAAACAGCCTCCCAAATTAAATGCTATCTCCCTCGTACCAGATGAAACAGCACAAGTATCGTATGGAGAGAAGTCATACTTACTAAAGTTAATTATGAGTTCATTGATTTGAAAACAGCCTCCCAAATTAAATGCTATCTCCCTCGTACCAGATAAAACAGCACAAGTATCGTATGGAGAGAAGTCATACTTACTAAAGTAAATTATCAGTTCATTGATTTGAAAACAGCCTCCCAAATTAAATACTATCTCTCTTGTACCAGATGGAACGGGAGCACAAGTATCGTATGGAGACAAAGTCATACTTACTAAAGTTAATTATCAGTTCATTGATTTGAAAACAGCCTCCCAAATCAAATGCTATCTCTCTTGTACCAGATGGAACGGGAGCACAAGTATCGTATGGAGACAAGTCATTTACAGCCGATAAAACAGATTGTGATGTTGTTATATTCCGAGGATACATATTTTGCTTTCCTGAAAACACAGAATTATGTTCATCGATATTAACATTGCATACATACTCACTGGGGTTTACCAGACCTCATGCTATCGTTTGATGGTTTTCTTTTAGATTAATTGAGAAGTAACAATAGAACAGCAACACGTGTTGTTGAAAAATATTAAAACAAGAAGAACACGTTCTTTAATGTTAAGCCATGCTTTTGCAATTAAATATTCAAAATATTGTTTTGTTGTCTCTTTCTTCATTTATATTTTATTAACCTTCCCCCTACCAACAGAATAAAAGTAACTGGTAATGTCTTGTATTAATTAAATATTAAATATTTGGGAAGCATAGTTGTACAACGATATCATAATCCATTATAATTTGATCAAATACATATTGTTAAAGGAAGAACTGGAACGATTGTTTTGTCATCGTATTAACTATTTCTTTATATACTTTTATTCACTCATTAACAATCAATCGTGCACTGTAATTTTGAATAAGACACGTTCGTCTTTATTGGTGGAAACTCTACCATTTGCAGCATAAGCATGATCATCATTTCTATTTATGTTATGTATTAGACAACATATTTATAACTCACTTATGCAGTGGTATTTGATAACTGCTGTTACGTTGTGGCTTTCATCACAATCATCAGGTCTGAGATTGGAGTAATCATCATAGTTTACTGTGCACTTATTTTGCTTATCACACTTGCCCTTGATCTCATTGATGTTTCCAACTGGCTGAATATTGCACAAGGAGTTGAATTCAAACCCACACATATAGTTGATACCATTGGTGTTGTTGCTTTGTCCAACTTCGACAGTATCAACTATTAGCACATCGTCCCCCTGACATGATAGTCTTATACTATTATCTGATGTCTTACTCTCACAGCCAGTTTTCGTCATTGTTTGGGCTAAAAAGATTTCAATTTAAGTTCAGATCATTGGCTTAAATATGGAAGCCTTAAGATTGGTATTTATGAGATATGTATACAGGGTGGGCTAAAAAACACCTTTTTTCAAGACACTACAACTTTTTTATTTTCCAACCTACTATTCCAAATTGTGCAGTTATATAGTGCCAAGGGTTCTTAGTAATAATATAATGTAACAAGTCCTTCAACTTGGATTGTATTTGATCTAAAAGGGGAGTTCAATTGGTCCGCCACCCTAATTGATGATATTTTTTAGTTTTAGTCGCCTTGCTGATATTACAGTATCAATGAAATGTTAGCTAAGTTTTTTCAACCTGTCTTAATTGCAAGCTTTAGTTGAGCAATTTTCTTAATTGGATGCCTTCATACAATCTCCTGGAGACTTCCCATACCCTATACTCACTGGGGTTTGCATCAGGGCTGTTAGCTTAGCGATCATTAGGCCGTATTAGTTCGGGAACATTTTGAAAATGATGCTTATTTCTCATGGCACACCACATGTTTAAGTGAGACGCTGGTGACATATTTTATTCAAGTAAAAGTGTATAATTCATGATTCATGGCTAGATAACAACCTCAAGTTTCATTTGGTATGCAAATTATGATTATATATCAAAAATTAAAAAAGTTATAGCATTTTGAAAAAAGGCGTTTTTTGGCCCACCCCTCAACAAAATGTACACTAGAAATTGAAAATACATTCTTAAGTTCAACATTACCATTTTTATATGTCTCAGTCTCAAAGCAGCCGGCGTTTTGCAGATGCACTGAATAGATAGTGACGTTACCACCTGCAAACACAAGAAACTCCTTTGTGGTTTCATTCAATGGGGTTTCTTGTTCTGCTGTTACACTGGTGAAGATTTGGACTCCATTTAGAAAGTATCCGACCATTTCCTCATCTCTTGTCATAGTTATTTGAAGTATATTTGAATGTTTCACGAATTCCATATTTAGTTTTACCATGTGAACCTCTGTTGCATCATTTGAGGTGAGATATGCAAGGAGCTCAATGTTGTCAAGGGAATTACTGATTATCATTCCAAAGGTGTTTGACACCTTAATAACAGTTGTATTCTGTTGTTCTAACCTAGTGACATCTATCCACGTTTCTAAACAGAACGTGTTGTTGAGTTCACTAGAGGATATACTATAATTCATTGTTACACCACCTGAAATTGAATTCAAGGCAATATAATCCCCGTTTTCCTCCATAGCATCATTATTCCCTTCGGTATGAGAACACACAAAGCGATTGCAAAATAAGCATATGAAGTTTGAATCTAAACAGCAATGTACGTATATTGCTTAAATAATTAATTATGGTTTTCAATACCATTAATGCAATATAATGTAACTACAATAGCTATTAAGTATAATACGAGTCGTTCGAACGGTGGTGTAATATTGAGGAGTTTAAGCTTGCGATGTTTTTCACAATCTAAACGTGAACGAAAAATATTTAAGCGATGCATTTGCATAGGCGATTTGTCATACGTATAGGTTGGCGTTTCGATTTTATATGCAAACTTAAACCCCCTATTATTGAGGTGTCACACGACTGGTTATAACTAAAAGTATCCGCAGCCGCATCTCGTTTTATTTGAACTGCCACATATAAATTTGGCAAATGCGTTGCGGATATTATTTTAGTAACTTTGAGCCAAAACGTCGTACTAGCCTCTCTAATAGATCTTATTAATACTATACAAATATCAAATGATGCTGTGAAGTGCAATACCTGTATACATTTCTGAGGGTGGATTCCACGTAGCACGAAGGGCAAGTGGAATACATCCCCAAGAAATATATACAGGTAAATAATGCCACATGTTTACGGGATGAGATGTCACATTCGTTAAATACCTGTTTTTAATAAATACACCTTTCATATCGATGATTTATACATTGTGGTATTTTTAGTCACATGGTACATGACTGACCAATCACATGCTGATTATCACTAGAGAGAAATAATATTTGTACAATATTATCAATACTGTATTAATACTGTCACTCAATGGTGATTTTAAAATCTGAATATGTAAGTGCCAAGAAAATCTCAATGCATGGAATGTTTTTACCTTGAGGAATATCATCAGGGTCAAGCTGCAATATATTGGGATTGTATACAATGATCGTAGTCGGTGTCATCTCGAAATCACAACAGCCTAGGGATAAATGTATGATTATTTGCTTTTGTCACCACCTGTCATTTGTTCAGACGCCGACCAGCAAACGCCGAACACCAACCATCGAACAGCGTACACAAAAAAATATACTTTATTAATTTGTGTTACCCACTCTGGTGATGACTTAATTAAGATTTATAGAAGTAATTGCTATAGATATTACCACAATTTCACGATTCAGATTGGTGCTATTCAATAATCTACCTTGATATTCTTATTTATATTCTCAAATCTAAAATGAATGATACGAACATTAGTACATTACCCATGTGTATGAAAAGAGACGTCCATACCTGTACATTTCAAGTCATCACCAACCCATTCACCATAGCCCGATGGATTGGCCACACATTTTTTTGTGAATTCCCCGGAATAATAACTGCTCCCCGGCAAGCATTTGTACTCTACTATTGCCCCAACCTTCCATCCGTTCTGCTGATATTTCATTGTATGGCCTGATGGATCTGTTAACTCCTGACAATATACATCTGTAATAATATACCACAAAACCAAAGTAAAAAATAAAGGTGCGTTAATATGATCCTATATGATATGGGGTAGAAATATGTAAATATGTGAGGCAAAACTGAAATGGGACATTCAATGAGGAATTTATTATGATATTAAAAAATATGATTGCTGCTTTTAAGTTCCCATTTGAATGATCCTAGCTAAACATGAGATTAGTTCCAATGTAAACTTTATGAATAATATAAAAAACACTGCAATTAACATGATAAAAAGTTATAATTTGAAATATCATACGCCATATGGACTTTACATTTCAAATTACGTGCAAACATGCAGAATGAAGACATAACTTGGAGATAATACATAAGTGTTAACAGCCATATTTAAAAGCTGCGCATTGAATGTTTCCTTTGTGATATTTTGTTTTCCAATATGAATATTTCCTTGGGGATATTTTGTTTTCCAATATGGCGCCCAATCAGTTGCCTGAAAACCCTTATACGGTAAATCTAGGGACGCCAAATTCAAAGCTTCTGTTATGTAATAAAAATGCATTGGTTGATAATGTTATGGTTAAACGCCAACAGAGGCAAATAATCATAGGACAATTGAGTTAACTAAGATAAAGATGCCGAGACTAGTAGCCTTGTTTTGCAAGAATGATAAAGATCAAATTATAACTGTCATTCGACCATTCTGAGAAACAAAATTTTTAACATTAACAGAACGACCTGATTTTTGACTTCTGCACACTGAAGAGACTTTTTTGATTAAAGTAAACTTTAAGAAAATAAAATCATAAGTCACTGACGTCGTTTTTCATTATTGTTCTTCGAAAATAAATTGTATGTTCTTGCCCAATATTTTGCTTATCATGTACCAAAGCGCAACAGAGGTACATTAACGATGTCACAACTATGCACTTTTCATTAAATCCATCAAAATTATGTATTCATATAAAAGTAAAAACACATTTTTCAAACTCAAAATAGCACGAAATTTATATGCTCTAAAGCTTAAGCCTGGTCAAATGTCTATTGCATGTTTTGCTACTGAACAATGACCTTCAAATAAAGATAATAAAGAGGTAGGAAGAATTACGGTGCAGAGAAAACGGTGTCATAATATGGGCGAAAGGCCATACCTCGATGACAACTAAAGCATCTTTTCAGAAAATATATACCAAAGTCATAATTGTATAGGAATAGTAAACTTATTGGAGGCAAGTAAAATAAAGAAAGATTAATAGAATATACGTGATTGAACAAAAACAAAAAAAATATTTTTAGTATGTTCAAATGATTAAGAGAGAGAGTTGCTGCCAAACAATATATTTTCAGTTTTATAGACTTTTAGAAGAACGTGGAACTAAAATATGTTCAGTCATTCATAATTTTTTAATGTTCCAGATTAGATAATAACAATATATAAAAATGTACTTACCTAGTGTCCCAGATGTTAAAATTGTCGGTATATAAGCCGTCCACATTACCAATAAGAAAATCCAAGCTTTTTCCATTTTACAACTCATGGCTTTCATGGGTTTTTATTGTGTCTCCCTGTTCCTATATTCATTATACAATTTGTCGTGTATATATTGATTGCTTTTGCAAGTTGATCTCCATGGTTTAGTTTGCATTTCCCCTTTCTATACAACCAAGTGGATTTCTAGAAATGAATTCTCACGCAAATTATTTGTGATATGAGATAAAAATGATATGAAAATGATTACAATTATTACAATCATACAGCACTAACTTCTCGAACAACATTCCATGACCAACCCATGTAGATGTGATCATACAGATATTCACATTGATGGTGATACATTGGACACGAACTCATTGACAACAATAGATTATATTTCACATAGCACCATCGTTTGTCCATTTGGTTATGAGTATTGTTGGAAAAAAATAAGTGTATTTTGGTCAAAATAAAAAGCCGTGTCCTACACAAGGAATAAATTCATAAAATATGGTAGACAGCATTTTTTGTGTGGTTAACTTATGAGCATATCTGTATTGTTATTAATTATTCATTTATTATTCATACATTGTTTTATTAAGTAAATAGTGACTATCACTATTTAGGGACTATCGTTGAATGTCATTAATCAATCAGATTAAATCACTCTACTAACATGCAATAGCAATCAGGTAATAGACTCAGGTTTTTATTCAAAATAAATTCCCTTATTTTTGATAATATGCAGAACAATTATGGAGTCCCTTGCGTATTCCTTACATACAATGAAAATAGGGAGATCAATGATATTTTGAATACTGTATCTATATGGATACGATGAAGACTGATTTATTATTGTCATTTGTTTTTCAGTATGGTCTGCAATAACACTTACACTGTCGAGAACATTGGCATCAAAGGCCACCATTCGTTTATTCTGAGCTCAGAAAAACAAAAATATATTTTCATTAATTTCAATATCTGCACAGCAATACCTTTATAAGTCTATCTATTTTTCAATCCATATGTATAACGTTCATTTTTGTTAGTCACAAATAATGTTTCCCTGAATTGAATCTTAATTGGTCCATCCGAAATAAACCATAGCCATTAAAATGTGAATGTTAAAATGTGTTTTGAATTAGGTTGTAACAGGTAACAGCTAGGTTGTGTAAACAGGTTCAAAAATTGTCCATGGCACCACTCTGAAATATGAAGAATCCGTAGCACACTATTGATATCACGCGGTACTAACTTCGACCGTTAATTTGAATTTTTGACCTACCAGGTGTTTGAAAATCAAGTACTGCGAGTCTCATACTGCACCGTTTTTCTTCAAACTTGTTCCATTCAAAGCAAAACAAAATTGCCTTTCTGTTGGTACATTGCCTTATTGTAAAGAGTGCCTCGTTTTAGCAGCGTTTTGGTCCCCAGTTGTGAGAAGCCCACACAGAATTTCCGGACCAGAGAATATATTTATATGACATTTAGATAACGACATACCAAGTAAACACATACTTCTAAAATCAAATTACAGTACTAAATAGTTAGTTACAGTTCATTTTCTTCCACCCATCTTCCGCATTCACTTTTTGAAACATATATGGACGTGGAGCTAAACATGATACTAAGGCACAGAAACAGTTTTTTTGTACATAAAGGGCCCATAATTTACCTGCGTGGACGATATGATGTGGGGATTTTCTCAAAAACAGGTTTTGGGAGATTTGGTCACCTCTATGCTTGTGAGAACTCCATCTTCTATCTTCCGTTCAAAGCCTTCTTCAACTTGAGGAAAGCCAATGAGTTGGGTATGGGAGTTTTTGGGAGAAATAAACAAAGGTTTGTTCAAATTTGCACAAAAACAAGTGGATGACTCGTGAGAATGGAATTCAGGGCACTTGGCATAGTGGCCTCGCCCCAAAAACACCTAAAGCCCGGTATACACCAATGGGGCAAGTTGGGACCTCCATAGACTTAACATTGCGTGGGACCTCGTGGGACCTTTTGGGATTTTGCCCCATGAAGTCCGTGGGACTTCAATGGACTCCGTGGGATTTTGCCCCATCTTGCCCCATCGAGTCCCATGAGGTCCCATGAAGTCCCACGTGGGACTCGATGGGGCAAGATGGGGCAAAATCCCACGAAGTCCCATGGAGTCCCATCGAGAATGAACATGTTCATTCTTTTCATGGGGCATCGTGGGATTTTCGATCATATGACGTGTTGTGTGAAGCCCGACATACACCAATGGGGCACGGTGGGATTTGATGGGACTCAATGGGACTTGATGGGACTCCATGGGGCACGATGGGGCAAAGTCATCAAGGTCCCATGGGACTTCGTGGGACTCGATGGGGGAAATTGGGATTCGATGGGGCAAGATGGGACTCGATGGGGCAAGTGGGATTTTGCCCCATTGGTGTCATCCTCCTTAGCAGGTGTCCAGAATCCGTACCTCCTTCTTCCCCCTGCTATAAGCAGTTAGCATTTCCCCGATTAAGAACTCGCAATTTGATTGGCTGTCGCAACACTGCGACAGAAATCATGTATACGTCATCGGCGCATAATAAGATCACGTGATTCAGTTTAATCGGGCGCGTCCAACTTGGTTGGCAGGGGGTAAAAAGAAAGAAGATATTCTGGATTTTGAAGCCCTGTGATCGGAGGATGCATTGGTGTATACCGGGCTTTAGTTGCTGAAATAATGTCACTATTTAGTTGTTGTGTCGCACATGCAGCCCTTTAATATGATATGCACTTAAGAACCTCAAAAAGGGGTCAAACGTACCAAAAAGCCAAACATTTCCTTTGGTATAACGGAAATAAGTTTTCTTAGTGCTTTTATGAAAAATAGCATGGCAAGAAAAATGGCCGATAATCTGGTAATAGTTACGACATGACCTGGAGCGACTACGACGATTAAAATGTGAGTAATGTCTGAAATTGTAACCAAATTTATAATAAGAATCCTAAAGATTTGAACTAATATCTTGATCACTTCTTGTGAGTTTTAAATTTTTTGTATGGAAATAAGACTAAAACTGGATTCAAATTCTGAAGTGAAAATATAACTTTGTAATCACGACATGACTCATAAATGCACGGGGTGCCAGCTACGATCATTAATTTGAATTTTAGACCTACCAGGTGTTTGAAGATCTACAGCCAAAACCAAGATTTATGGTACCAAGTTTGATATATCATTGGAAAGATCTTCCAAAGTAGCATATATCTGACAAATGTCAATCAATCTCAAAAATGTTTACATTGTATCAATTGAGGTGGCCAAGAGACAGTTCATTCAAAACGTGTTATTGTAGCACCGGTATACAAAGGGCGATCCATATATTCTGATAAAAAAGCTCTCATTTTGTGCTAAATTATGATAGCTATATCCTAAGTTGATTTAAAGATAAGGTTGCCATGGTAACCTGTATTAGGGGTAGGCAGGTCAATTAAATCATAACCTATAAAATACTAAGTATCATAATAACTTGTTATTTCAATTATTTTAAAGCATGCGGAAATCATACATTTTTTCTAAAAAAGTTTGGTATTTGTTGCTCGTTGTTTGTTGCTTACCAAATGTTTATTTGTGCTCACAATAACATCAGAACAGCTCACAATAGCGATGTGTGACAGAATGGGCCAATTGACATTACAAGTCATGAGAAACCAAAAGTGGCAGATGAGATTATTGTGGCTGATGCAGTGTGCCATCAACAGATACATCAGGAGTACCATTAGATTTTATGCACTATCAAGAAAAGGTAATATGACACCATCAGAGGCATACATGGACTCATAGAGTGTATAGGCAAGGTGTTATAAATCTGCTCCAAGAATCTATGATGGCAGTATTGTAAAAAGCCACGTAAGATATGGCAAGCATTTTCAAAGGGCTATATCTTTAGTTCTAAGAATACTTTAACCACAAAAACAAATGGTTATGTTAGATCCATGTCTAATCTTCAATAAATGACAGTAGGATGATAATCAAGTTGATTGGATTATCTCTTAAGCTGTCTCTAATCCACCCATCTTCACCAATTTCCCCTAATTCTAACGCAATTTTCACCAAAAATGCAGCATTTTATTTCAGCTTTTATGGCAAAATTACAATTTACTGTAAGGAATGATTTACCTCTAAAAGGGAAAACTTAATTACTTTGGGATTAGGATAATCCGAAAACAATGACTTTTTTAGACCGAATTTTCGACCTAAAAGTAGCAATTATTTAATAAGTTTAATGCACGAAAACATTGAGCTATGTCACATGATTGATCTCCAAAAAGAAAAAAAATGATCTAAATGAGATATCTGATAATCAATTTGTCATTTTTACCTCATAGGTCATGACCTTAGTGT